CAGAAATGTTTTATTGCGAATTCATGTGAAGAAAAGAACTGTAAATAAGGTTAGAAAAGTTTATACACCAGGGTTTATTCCTTTATTTTTACGCTTCAGTGTTCTGGTCTGAGCTCATGAGCCAGAGAATCCAGCATGTTCTCGAATGTTCTCCGTATTCTATCTGCGTCATCACCAAACTGCTTTTTGCAATGTTATGAAAAAGCTCAAATTGTAAAGAAGCTTGGAAAAGTTTATACAATGTTGTGCAGTTAAAATTACTTTAAAACTGATACCGGAGAAAAGAGTAAATGTTTACATTTTTTTAACGATAAATGATATCTTCACATTACATTTTTCAATCTAAAGACCAATCTTTTTTTGATTAATTGTCTACTGTATTTTTACCAATAAAAAATACTGGTGTAATATGAAAGATTTGTAATAGTTTTGAAGAAAAATACTGAGTCAGAAATAAATATTCCACACTTTTTAAGAATTTATATTCTTTTGTTGAAAATGTACACTTCCGCATGGCAAATTACTACATACATCATTCACTCTATAACAGTTTGTCATTCTTTATCTCACAAAACCTACTTAATAAATCTCACATAATGGTAATTATTTGATAAGAAGTCAACTGTAATTTAAAGATTAAATGGATGCAGTGATGTTAAAACATCAGCAAAAGAACCAGTATTAGCTCATTTGATCATTCAAGACTTTAGTTTACGGAGTCAGCTAACCTTAGTTAGTATGCAGTCACTGGATGTCCATCAAACACCAGACTTTCCTTTCAAAAGTTATTTGTTAAACGCGTATGTAGGTTGCTCTCTTTGAGAATAGTCCAAATGAAGTCCAGTGGAATCTCTTCAAGGCTACTACAGCATACAGTTGATTTTCTACTTAGCAAGCCTAGAGCAGTGTAAGCCGGTGCACCCTCTGTGTGTTTGTTTGACCGCCTTGTTTTTCTGCGTCAAAGGAATGGGGCATGACTAAAAAACACATTCTGAGTGTTACTACACTGTCTAAGTTCCTCAAAGGAACTAGGAACTAGCACTAGGCAAAGGAACACTCACCGCTCCTTTATACTTCCCCCTATCTCTCACACACCTCCTCACACACGTGACATCTCCTGCTCTCACTGGTGGGGAAGGGGTGGCATGACGTGCTCAGGCTAACGTTGAGCTAGTGTCAGTGCAGTGAAGGGAAAACTCTGCCTGCTGCTCTCTCTCGTGGTTGAAGTGTTTTATGCAGTCAAGGCAATGCTCTTGGTTTCGGGACTTCATTGCGCATGTTACCTACATCCATTTAAATCGGAATATGTTAAAAGCTAAAAAACTGGGCAAACAAATGTTTGCATGGAGTTGCTACTTACATCAGTGTTATTGTAGTGTCCCTGATATAGGCTAGTATTATAGTTTTATTTTTATTTAATTTTTTTGTTAAAGTTGTATAAATAGTTAATTATTTTTATTTTAGATTTAGTTTTTGTTTACTACATCTGTGACAGCTTGGGTTCCGATAGCCACCTGGAGAGCATTCTTTATGGAACGGACTTCACGCTCCCATATTCCGCCAAATTGTGGAGCACTGGGTGGATTAAACTTGAAGCTAATTTGATAGTCTGAAAGCTGGGCTTTGAGTTCTGGCTCCATAATTGAGAAAGCTTCCCGTAATTCTCTGTCAGCTCCCTGGAAGTTGGTGCCACAATCCGAATGGATCTCATGTGGTTTACCTCTTCTGGCTATGAACCGGCGGAGCGCAAGAAGGAAGGCATCTACGTCCATTGAATTGAGGAGCTCAATGTGTACTGCCTTAGTTGTGAGACATTTGAAGATTAGCCCCCAGCGTTTCTCATTTCGCCTCCCTATTTTGACCAGGTATGGACCGAAGCAGTCAACACCAGTTGAGTGGAAAGGTGGACAGAGAAGTCGGAGGCATTCTGGTGGCAAATCTGCCATTTGCGGAACCTTTGGCTGAGCTCTCCATCGCTGACAGGACAGACAGTGAAGTTGATGGTACTTTATGGCCTGACGCCCTCTGAGAATCCAGTACCGTCTCCGAATTTCAGCGTAGACTCTTTCTGCACCTGGGTGTAACAGACGCTCATCAAATTCTTTGATAAGGAGCTTTGTTACTGCATGTCTTGGGTCCAGCACAGTGGGGTGGATTTGTTCTGGGTCTGAGTTTCCTCACATCATGTTTTTCAGTGGATCCCATTCTGGAGCAAGACTGACTAATCGGTTGTGTGCAGGAACTAATTTCTGTGCCTTGAGGGCAGCAACTTCTTCGGGAAAGCTCTGGAGTTGGCATGCTCTTAGCAGGGCAGCTTCTGCCTCTTTACTAGTCATAGGCTCACTGGATGCAGAATCCGATGTGGCCGCCCCTTGGCAGGCCTGTCGAGTTCCCTCCACTAATTCACACCATGAACTGAACTGGGTAGAATCAGGGATGTTGGAGGCAGTGTCAACTGCTATTAGGCAGTAGCATGAAAGCCCTTTCAATTCGGATGCTCCCTCTGACTGTGTGAGTTCAGGTTTCTTAGGCCAGTGCACTTGGCGCTGTTTCAAGAATGGAGGTCCTTGACTCCATCGACTAGGCTCAGCCAGACTTTGGCGCAATTTACCTCATGTTATGTCATCAGCGGGGTTGTCCTGTGTATTCACGTACCTCCAAGATCTGTGGTCGGTTACTTTCTGTATCTCGGAGACTCAGGTTCCCACAAACACCTTATATCGACAGGAGTCTGACTGAATCCACTCTAGCACAGTCAAGGAGTCTGTCCATAGGATTGTCTGACTGATGGAGAGAGTCATCTCATTCCTCACCAGTTTGGCTAGCTGTGCTCCAGCTAAGGCGGCACAAAGCTCCAGATGAGGCATAGACTGCTGCTTCTTTGGAGCAACACTCAATCTGGCCATTATGAAGGAAACGTGAATGTCACTGTCGGATTGAACTGCGAAATATGCCACTGCCCCATACACTTTTTCAGAGGTGTCGCAGAACACATGGAGGGAAATGTTCTGTTCTGTTGTAGTTGTGAAGGCTGTTAAGTAACAGCGAGGAATGGATACTGCCCTGAAATGTTCAAGCTCGCTCTCTTAACTTATCCAGGCCGCCTTAAGGGTTGGCGGTAGATCTGGGTCATCCCAGTCTCTCCTTTTCGCCCACAACTGTTGAATGATTACCTTAGCCCTGGTGGTAAATGGTAGTACGAACCCCAATGGATCATACTGAGATGCCAGCACCTGGTAGGCTGCTCTCATAGTCAGTGCTGCATGCTCAATGGGCCTGTAATGATAGCCAAGGGTATCAGTTGCACAGTTCCACCGAAGCCCCAATGTGGGCTCCATCGGGTCAACGTGGGTTTGAACTAGCCACTGCTCTGTGGCAGAGGAGCGGGCTTCAGTAGGAAGATGAGAGACCACAGCTGGGTGATTACTAGCCCACTGTCTGAGGTCAAATCCTCCTTCTGCTAACATGCTGCGTAGTTGATCCACTGTTTGTTTGGCTGCAGAAACAGTAGGAAAGCTTGCGAGGCAATTGTCCACATAGAAGCTCTGGTGTACTATTTCTTATAACCCTGGATATTTGGCTTCAGAATTACGAGTATAATGTTGCAGAGCGAAGATGGCACAGCATGGACTGCTTGTTGTACCAAATGGTAGAACCTGCCATTCATACACATCTGGAGGGTTCTCACTCTGCAGGTCTCTCCAAATGAAATGGAGAAAGGGTCTGTCCTTTGGTAGGAGACGAACCTGATGGAACATGCCCTTGATATCTGCACTTACAGCCACATGATGCTGTCTGAATCGTAGCAGGA